TGAGGTTGCTGTGAGCTAGGCTGATGCCACTGCACTCACTCTAGCTCGGGCAAAAAAGAGTGAGACTCTGTCTCAAAAAAAAAAAAAAATAATAGAAAACGAATCCGGAAACTCCGCAGCACGGTTGGGAGCGGACGTTTACCCACCACTGGGGCATTTAATGGGATTCTGCATCACTGATTCAGCACCTAGTTTTTTCGTCACCTTTCTATCCAGAAATGATGGAAATAACAACTGCGGTTGTCACTAAATGGGTCGGAAAAGACACCATCCGACACTGAGACATTGGGAGCTTTAACAGCACGTCTGGAAACGCAGGGTGTGCGGGTAACAAAACACAGCACGGGCACCGACCGCTGTAGGACGGTACGTCCTCTGAGAAAACGATTTGACAAATGGGGAAACATAAACTCTCTTTTCAGAAAGAAACACAAAGAGTTTTCCCTCAACAGAGGGTTAGGACCGTGAGCTTTTGCTCTCTGGATTCTTTTTCTTCCTCGCCTAATTGCAAATACTTTCCACAGGAATCAGTAACAGCATTTTTAGCGGCTTCCGAAGTTTTGGAACACGACGCTCCCCTCCCTGTAAGTCTCCTCATTCTCTGAAGGGAGAGGCACAGGGTGATGAGATTTTGGGTCCTGCTGTTTTTTGCGGGAAGGAGCAAACAGAACAGCTGGAGGGTCAAGCCCCGTTCCTGAGTTGACCGCAGAGGCCCTTAGGAAGATGGCGCCGGCAGGGAGGCCGGGCGAGAATCGGCGAGAGCGGGTTATGCAGAAAGAACGAACAACCTCCTCTTCTGACGGTGGATGAACTGAATCCCCGTGAGTCTGGGAAGCGTGACGTCAGCTTTGCAGCTAAGTGCGCCGGGCGGGACGAGGCCTCTCGGGAAGCCGCAGGGATGTGGCGAGTGCTGGAGACGGCGGGGACGTCTCCCTCCGGCATGGAGCTGGGGGCCACGCGACGGCTCATCCTTTTCCTGCGACCACCGGACACCCTCCTGGGCCCGGGAGACACGGACAAGCCAGTCCTGGCGGCGGCCACCCTCACGGGCAGGGTTCAGGGCAGACGCGTGACCGTGGCACCGTCGCCTGTGCCGGGCCCTCTGCAGGGACGTCCGAGGGAGCCAGGGTCCAGCGGGGCAGGGATCTGGGTGCTCCTGGCGGGTCCCCAACGCCTAGACCAGCGCCCAGCCAAGGAGGACAGTTGCGTGAGTCATAGGGAAAACGCCGCTGGACTTCCCAGCGTCTAGCTCTGACTGGGGGGGGGACAAGTGGTGTCCACGTCCTGCAGGGCGGTGACGGGGAAATCGGAGGGAGGACGGCTGCAGCCCCCGACCGGGGCGCCCCTCCGTCCTCTCGTGCATCACCACCCCGCGCGGCAGGTGCGCGAGGAAAGACCATTTCCCGAAACGACGTGTCTTGGGAAGGTTGGAAAAAGATCCCACATTTCACGACGACGTCACACAATAGAATCTAAACACGCTGTGCGTTCATTGTTCACCACTATTTACACGCACCATGCTCATCTCAATCTCCAATGGTCTTAGGTTTCTATTTTTATTTTTTCTGTGTCCATTAGGTTTCTGAACCTCGTACACACACTGAAGACAATTCTTGACGAATAATCCCACTTTTCTGTACCGTCGCATTTGTGGTTATTTCACTGCGTGAATTTCACATCACTGCAGACGCAAGACGGGGGCACCCGTGCCTCCACGCGCAGCACCCCCACTCGGTGACGGGCGGGAACAGTTTGCTGATATGAGGAATATTCGTTGCAACGCTTGACAATCTCAAGATGCTCCGTGCAAAGCAGAGAGGAGAGTGTCACAGGTGAGGGAAGCCACTCCCTGCAGGGACTTGGGGACGCTGCACACAGGGGTGGCATCGGAGCAGAGCCCTGACGGCGGGTCAGAGCTGAACCTGCCGGGTGGGCTGAGGCGACCAGGGAAGGGGTCCGGGGGAGACCAGGGCACGAGTGACGGCAAGAAGGGGCCAGCCTGGAGCACCCACGATGATAAGTCAGAGAGACCACGGGGCGGGCGCGGGTGGCGGCGTTGGTGGGCCGGGCAGAGAGGGCAGAGGGTGGAGGGCACAGTCCCCTCTGCCGCCCCTCAGAGAACAAGGTGACGGCGCAGAAAGGGAGGACCTGGTGCCGCCGAGAGAACACACAGGAGCAGGTGCTGTGAGCGCCCGCTGGTCTGGGCCGGAAGCTGGAAAATGCTCCCGCCTGGGACTTGCGAGCTGGAGTGGCCCTGTCCCGGCACCCCCGCCCTGCGCAGGACGGACCTGGTCCCTCACGAGCTCGGGTCCTTCCCAGGCCCCCTGGGCCCCACGTGTCACAGCCGCCGCCTGGACTCCGAGGGAAGACTGAGCCCAGAGCCTGCATCTCGACGGCTACGGCCGCGTCCCGCTAAACAGCCCCCTCTAGCGAGTTCCACCCCTGCCGATCGCCCGGCACAGCCGCAGCTGACTCAGAACAGCCGCCGAGCCGGGTCCCCTCAACTCAGACGTGAGAGTCTGAGCCCTTTTCCTCAAAGTCTCTACTGCTCTCGCTGCGGTGGCTTAAAATCCCCAGTTACAAGCGTTCAGCCGAAGCAGGTACAAGCAAAAGACGGGAAGGTTTTATTCTCTGGAAATGGGTTCTGGCTGGTCGGACGACATCTCACGGCTCTCTGATCTCGGCAGAAATGGAGCAGAAACCCCCTGCCCCCCCTCTGGCCACTCAGCTTGGCCCGTGCCGCCCTCCTGCCTCTGCCCCGCGTTGCCCGTCCCGCTCCCTGACCCCACCTGCCTCTCCACAGAGTCCTGGGCCCGTCTGGAAGGGAGCTGGGATTGGGCACTGCACACACGCGGGTCATCGCGGGCTCTCGGGAGGCGGCGTGGGGACCACCTGGCACTCAGGTGGCAGCAGGTGGCGCATGAGGGTGCGAGCGCCAGAGGCCAGGCCAGGGGGACCCAAGAGCGGTGATGACGTCAGGTCCAACCGGGCCAAGGTGGCTGGGGGCTGCGGGAGGAAACGTGTGACCCGAGGCAAATCACTTCCTCCCCAGAGCTGGCATGGCGGCCTCCCCCGGGTGAGGGCGACGTCGGAAACGGAGGGCTCCTGGGAGGGGCCTCGGGGGCCGCGGGTGCCTGGGGCTCTCCCGGCAGAGGCATTGCGGGCACTTCCGCACGATTTCTCCTGCTCCCGAGGGTTGGGCTTTCCCGGCGAGTCAGCGCGAAACTTGGAGAAGGTTCGGGATCGGTTACGTGGCGAGAAGAAGCTGGAAACCTCATCGGTCCACGTGGGGTTGGGAGTGGGACAGGAACGCGGCCTCGGGCGCAGCCGTGGGTGACGGCGGAGCAGCCCCCGCCCTTAGGGAGGGTGCGAGTGAAGAACAGACTTTTTTATCCACGGGTGACCCTTTGCTCCGAGAAACCTGCGTAAGAACCTGCACCCCAGCACGGGAATGTGTCCGCGCCATCATTCAACGTTCACAGAGCGCCCGGCGACCTCCACCCGCAGACGCCTGGCGGCACCGGAGGCGCACGAAGCCCGGTCCTCCTCACTGTTGAAAGCCTAAAGGAAGAGCCGGAAAGGCTAAAACACGGCACAAACAGCTCTTAAATCAAGGCCTGGAGACACCATAATCTCCACGAGCTTCAGAGAATCAAAGCGGCTTCACCGTCAGCCGCGCCCGAAGGGCAGGAAACCGCGTTGTCTGGACAGCGGTGGAGGGACGGGGGACTTACCAACGGCAGATGGCCACCCAGGAGAGACCCGTCACACCGCCGACCAGCAGGGCGCCCAGCGCAATGGAGACCCAGGACGCACGCGGGAGCCGCCCGGAGTCTGGGGCACAGACGAGACCTGGTTAGTGGAGCCTGGGAGGGCCTGGCCCTGCCTGACTCGGGGACACACCCACTCTGCCCTGTCCGGGTCAGCTGAGTGGCTGTGTGACCCTGAGCATGTTGCTCAACCTCTCTGTTCTCCAGTGTCCTCTTCTGTAAAGCGGAGATTAAAACAGAGCTTCCCCAGAGAAGCCGTGCACTGGGGGATTCGCAGATGGATGTTCGGACCGTGCCCAGCACACGGCAGGCCCGGCCACACCATGGGGAAGGACCCGCCCCACGAGAGCCCAGCTGGGACAGAGGACAGGAGGGCTGTCCCGGGGAGGACGGTGTGTGCCGTGGGGACTCCACCTGGAAGTCCCCATGTCCTGCTGGTGCACCCGGTCAGAGGACACCCCGAGCGCATCGCCACCTAGAGCGCGCGGAGCGGACACCCTGCTTCCCCTCGGCGGCAGCCTCTCTCCCCTCCCCGGTAGGGACGGTCACTGACGGGTGACCACCTGCAGCGCGTTTTGTTTCGTTTTTGCCAAATTCTCAGCGGGCACCGGGAGGGACTGCGCCTCACCTATGCAGGTCCTTCCGTCGTCCCCCAGCACGTAGGGGTCGGAGCAGACGCACTGGAAGCCGCCCTTGGTGTTCCTGCACCGCGCGGAGGCGTGGCAGGGAGGGCGCGCGGGGTCCGCACACTCGTTCACATCTGCGCAACAAGGCCAGGGCGGCGCGGTGAGGGGAGCCCCGTCTGTGCGGGGAGCTCCCGCGGGGGCCAGGCCCTCGCCTGGGCCGCCACGTCCGCAGAGAACAGCAAAGCACCGGCTCCGCCTCCCCCACGGGGCTCTGCCGCCAAGGCCCTTCTACCCGCGCTCTCCGGCTCCAGCCGCCGTCCTCCCCCGGCCCACCCGGTCCTCCCGGCCTGGGCCTGCGTCCTGCCAGGGTCTCGGTCACCGGCTCCCTCTGCGGCCGTGCTCTGACCCCGCGGGCTGCACCTGCTTTTCCTGCCCATCTCCAGACGGGCCCCTGGGCCTCCTTTGGCTCCATCACCGGCCTCACTCCGCGCCGGTGCTCGCTGTGCCGCAGGCTCCTGCCCTCAGGGTCTCTGGCGGTCCCACCTGGGCCCCCCTCAGACCTGGGGTGCCAGCGCCTGCCCAGGAGCCCGGACGCCTGGAGGGAGGGTGCAGGTCTGGCTGCGGCAGGCGCGGAGGGAAGGAGGCCGCGGGGAGGAGCGCGCAGCCCGCCTGACCGGTGGGTGCTCTCGGGGCGAGAACCAGGGCTCTGCCCTCCCCCCCTCCTCGCAGCATTTGTCCGGGCCACAGAGTTTGCCACCCAGGCCGGCACGGGCCCATCCGTGGCTGGATTTCCTGTCCTGGCGCAGCTGGCACAGCCCGGGGTGCCATGGCGGCTCTGCCCCGTGCTCAGGCGAGGACCGCGCCACTCGCCCTGGTCTAAAACCTTTGACCTGTTTTCTGATTTCTGAGGCTCGTGTTTCCACATAACTCACTCTACAGCCTTTGCTCTAGGTTGTGTTTCTTTTCTGACCAACTCCAGGAAACCAGCAGCAGAATATCAAAGAAAAGCATGATGCACCACTGAACACGCGCTCCATAAACACAACATTCACCACAACGCCCCGCGCGCTGCGCTTCCAGGTGGGGCTCTGCCGGGAGGGGATGAAAGTGGCTGCCCCCCCCATCGCAGGGCCCTGCACCCCGGCACCCCTGCACCCGGGGTCGGCGGGAGGGACTGGCCCAGGGTCTCCAGACAAAAGCTGGACTCGGCCCAGACTCCGGCCACCAGGGACCCCAGAGCACATGTGGACGTGAGCAGCCTCTGTGACCCGTGCGGGTGACACACATGGGCCGCGCAGGCCGGCCAGGGCGGGTCCGCTGCCCACAGCTTCCGCTCCTGGGGCAGGGTCCGCGGCCAGAGCTCCCCGCTGGCCTCCGCAGGGACAGACGCGTTGGCTGTGGGGCCTGTGAAGGGCCGTGTGGGAGCTGAAGACGCACACGGGAGAAGGGGCTGCCAGCGGGGGTGGGGGACGTCGCAGCTCACACGTCGCCGTGGCATCAACGACGCCGGCAGTGCGGATGGCAGCGTCGCGTGAGAGCAGGTAGAAGGCGAAGGCACTTCGGAGAGCTGCAGCTGTGGGAGCGTGAGCTGTCGTCATTGCCTCGGGTCGCAGCCGTTACTAACACGCCTTGTTCGTGGTCAGCCACGTCGCGGCCTTTCGACATACGACGTCTTTCTTGGTGAAACGGGGCCCGGAACCCGCCCGCGTGCGCCCACAGTGCGGACTGGAAGCGGGAGCTGAGCTGTGGGGCCGAGTTTGCAGCCTGCCCGGGGCCGGGCGTGTTCCCTGCGGCGTGGGGCTGTCACCGTCACGTGGAAGAGCTACGTCATCGCCCACGAAGGCAGCAGCTCTCCTCCTCTTCCTCACGAAACGGGACGTGAGAGGAGCCCCGCAGGGCCCGTCCCTGGTCGCAGCCACGACCGCTGCCCACGTTTGCCGACACGTCCCTTCCTGGGGGTCCCCTCTGAGCTCCTCCCCCCAACCCGGCCCTAGAGCTGGGACTCATCCCACGGAGAGTGTCCCGTGGCTGCCGCGGCAGATCACCACACAGCTGTGGCTCAGAACAACGGAAACCTGCCCTTCGCACTCTGGAGGCCACGCGTCTGAAATCGAGGAGTCGGCAGGGCCTCGGGGGGCCGTCCTCGTCTCTTCCAGCTGCTGGTGGTTTCCGCAGCCCTCGGCGGTCCTCGGTGGTCCTCAGACATCCTCGGCTTGCAGACGCTTCCTTCCGGTCCTGGGCTTGCAGGCGGTCACCTCCGTGAGCATCAGTCTCCTCCTCGTAGGAGGACGCCAGGCACAGATTGGGGCCCCGATGACTCCGTTTCACCACGACAGCCTCTGCGAGGACCCTGTCTCTGATACGGTCGCATCCGAGGTGCCGGAGGTTGGGGCGTGAACGTCTCACCGTTGGGGACCCGGGTCAGCCCGCGGCACTCTGCCTGGGTCAGTTCGTTCTGCCAGAGCCCGAGCCAGGGCTGGTGCCGTCCAGGTCTCCTCCCCAGGTCAGCACTGAGCGGTGTGACACGGCCACGCTGGCTGGGTGACCCGCGCCTCGCAGCAGAGATGGAGAACAGCCTCAGCCCACAGTGTCGGGTTCCCGCCTCGACCCGCACAGAGCTCCGGGCTTCGTTTTCCAACCGCTTGACCTCGAGTTTCAGGAAGAGCAGCAGATGGCGTCCCCACATCCCCACGCCCAGCCAGCGCACATCTGCACAGATGTTTCGGTCTCTAAGCGAGTCTGTATTGACCGCAAACCTTACTTTCCATAATGACACAGAACTTATTCACGTTCATTGACTGCAGAACCTCTTGGCAATAGCTCCTATAAAAGGCCACGGACTCAAGCTTTTATCTGTCTGGAATTCACAGCTTCAAAGTTCTCGGATGAGACTTATTACAATTCATTTGCTTGTTTTGTTTCATCAGGTTTTTACCTGGATGAATTGTAGAGGATAAGTAGGATTTAAACAGAGAAAAGAGCAGCAAATCTCATTTGACTTTTGAATTAAAAATTCAGTTAGGCCTGTCGCTTCCTCTCTGAACTGTGGACACGCTGATACACGCATTTCATCCCGGATCCGCCTGAACACGTATGTTCACATCAGCTTACCACGGAAGTGAAGTTTCCGCTGACGGTATACTCGGTCTATTTTTTTTCTTGCAATGCTTGATTTAGAAACTTCTAGTGCAGGGAACAGACACGGCAACAATGTCTGTGTACATAATTGAGTGCATTTATCCCAGGGCTTTCCTCATTGAGCTTTTTGTCATTGGTTTCTTTTTAAGATATTGTATTTTAACTACTGATGTAATAAGCCGAAAACCAAAGAGTTGTACAGACAAAAAGTCAATAATCTCGCTGCCTCTGCCCGTCCCTCTGCCGTGGCAGCGGCTGTAACACGTCCCAGCACTGCCGGGCTCTCGGGCTCGTGACGACACGACACTAAGATGACACACAAATACGCTTCACTGCTTTAGAAACCTAAATGATTCTCAATGTCCTCAATTCTCCGTCACGTGCATTTGCACTTAGTGGCAGGTCATGGACCGTACCCAGGTCAACAGACAAACCACTCGTCTACGCAGAGCGATAGTGCACGGCGTGGATCCCCAGCCGTGGCCGTGGCTTTCGAGCACTGACTGTACTAACAACAGGTTTGCGCCTTGTCCTTTACACTCTGCATTAGTTAATAAAATTAATTTAAATCGGAACACCAATGAGTGGCACCTTATCCGCATCCTCACTTTACATTCGGAAACACGGAGGTGTGCGGAGGCTCTGCATTTGGGGCGACAGATGGAGGATCTGCTGAACAGGCCCAGGCACGAGGGCGGGGAGCGTGGGCTGCGGAGACAGAGCGTGGGCTGCACAGAGTTACGCTGGCCCCAAGGGGCGGCCCGCGCCGGGATGTGCTCTCTGATGGGGTCTCGGGGCGAGTGCCGGTCCGGCTCTGGGGCTGGTGGGCCCGAGGCACTGCAGGTCTGACAAGCTCCCCGGTGACGCTGCCGCTGCCGTGCGCTGAGCCCAGCCTGGGCGCTCGCTCTGGGCGCGGGCCCTGGTGCCCCGGGGAGCACCCAGGCTGCTAGACATAGTCCTTAGTGCAGCTGATCTTGGCTTTAGGGAGCTGCTGACTTCGGAGTGAAAAATCAAGGGAGGAAAAGGTGGGGAGGGGACGGGGGGGTGAAACAATTTCAGGAACAGGAGAACGATCGTGACGGCATTTGTGAAGTTCAGGAGGCCGGAGGGACACGCCACATTTCGCAGGCTGGACAGTCCGAGTGTGGTCACCGCAGGACAGGTCGGTCCGCACAGCCGGAGAGCGGGACAGGCGGGTCCCCTCTGCTGGTCCCCGCGCGGGTGTTGCGCCCCTGCTACCGGTACCTGCGGAGCCTCGTGCGCAGAGCCATGGGGTCGTGAACGTCTGAAACCCACAGCCACGTCAGGCAGAAGGAACGCAGGCGGACGAGTGAGGTGCACACCCAGGAAGGCTCGCGGGATGTAGAGCGTGCGATGTGCCAACCCCGGAGCACGCGCGTCTTTCTCGACTGCAGCCACGCGGGAAACCAGGAATCGCGGGTGGCACAGGCCCGTCAGGGGTGCCCAGGCCCTGAGCCAAAGCAACACGAGGAATATCCACGTTGTTAAACTCTTGCTGCCGAGGGATCAGCTCCAGAGCGGGACAGGCTGGGGTAGCAGAGGTGGTGGCTGGATTAATAACAATAGCAGGGCTGCTGGCACGTGAGGCTTCCGGAAAGTTCTCTGGGAGAAGCGTGCTCTGCGTTGTTCTCTGGGGCGTTGTCTCACGTTGTTCCTTCTCTATGATCATTCATGACCAGACCCCAAACACAGCTGGAGCAAAAACTAAAAAAGTTCGACTTTGTTTTTATTTCCGCTTGCAAACCAGCCGCATTCTTGCCTCAGTTCCTCTCTCTCTTCGGACACGTCTCCCGCTGCCATTGGTCACGAGTGGCCCAGCCAGGCCCTGAGTCTGACGCCGACCCCTCCACAGGCTGCCTCGGAAGGACTGGCCGGCCTTCCAAGTGACCGCCACTGAGCGCTGGCCAGAATGTTCCTCCACCAACCCCGCCCCAGGCAGGAGGTTCGGGTTCTGTCGTGAGCGTTTTTTGAACTCATCGGCGGACCGGGGCCTCCTGACACCGGGGCCTCCCCCTCGGGGGTCTCACCCTGTTTCGCAGAGTGGTCCGGTGGGACCCAAGGACTGGGCTCTGCTGTCAGGCCCTGCTGTCCGACACACCTGGCCCCCAGGCTCCCGGGTGATGCCTTGGAGGGGAGGGGCTCAGGGGACGTAGCGCAGTGTGCCCTGCAAGTGCCTCCCCTTCCTCCCTGATCCCCGAGCGTGAGGAAGATCGGGGGAGGAGCCCAAGCGCGTGAGGAGGCTGCAGTCACGGGCTTGGAAGCCACCTGCCCCGTGGCGGACGTGGCCTTACTCGGTGGCTTCCTGGAGCAGGGACGTCTGTTGTGTTCCGTGTGAGAAATTGGCTCTGTGGGCTCTTTATTGCGGCCCTGCCTGGGACGTGCAGACCCCGTCCCCTCCCCTGGCCTGCGACCCTGTGGGCCGTGATTTGGGGCCATTGTCTCGATGTGTCGTCATCTAGACAGACACTCACCTGGGCCGTGGCCAACCACGGGGACAGCCCCCTCCCCACCCCGGAGCTCCCTGGGCAGGCGACCGGCTCAGAGGCACTTTGGTGACGGAGGGGAGACTCAATGACATTCATTCTTCGTTTATGTTTGAAACGTGGAGTTTCTGTGATTGTCATCAAAAGACACTCCCGCTGACCGACTGACCTTTGCAGAGCGGGGGCTGGAAGTCCCACCCTTGCGGGGTGCAGGCGAGCTGCTCTCGGCCGTGGAGCTCGTACCCGTGGCGGCAGGAATACACCAGCACGCGACGCCCGGCCTCCTCGCACTGCACGAAGTCCCCGTCGTCCACCTTCCCCGGGGGGCCACACTTGTCGTCTGTGTAACACGGACAGGTCAAAACGCAGTCAGACCACGAGAAAGGAAAACTACGCACTGGCCGTGGCCAAGCCGTGGCCCCAGAGTTCACGTTTCCTGCCGACCTCCTGGACCCTGGGTTGACTGTCTGGAGACAGGGCCGTCGAAGAGGGGGTTCGGGGGTTCACCTGCTGTCTGGCTCCCTGTGCTTAGTGTGAGAGCTGCGAAGGGGTGTGTGTGTGTGTGTGCGCGCGCGCTATGTGTGCTGTGTGTGTCTGTATATACATCTGTGTGCGTGTGTATGTCTGTGTATGTGTGTGGTGTGTGCTGTGTGTCTGTGTGTACGTGTTTGTGCGCATGTGTGTGTGCGTATAACCTTTAAGCTCTGTGTAAGTCCTACGTCTTCCCAGGAGACTTCTTTTCTGTAAAACCAAATGCCGATCCCTGTTTGCTCTTAAAAACGTGATCTCACCTGCTGCCTCCCCGCGGGGTGACAGCGCACAGTACGTGGGCGGTTCTGTGCTCATTTGTGGCGGCCACAGCTCGGCAGGTGCCCCCGGACCTGGCTGGGGAGGCCAGGGGAGCCGCTGGACGGCCCCCACACATAGCACAGACCCCGCAGCAGAGGGCGCGGCCCGGAGGGCTGGTGCCAGGCTGGGGGCGCGCACCCCCCGAGCTCCTGCACGGCGGCACGCAGGTGTGCTTTCCTCGGGGGCCAGGCCGAGTGACGTTCCCCAGACCCCCAGGTCCCTCCTCCCTTCGGGAGGACGCAGCCGCCCCCGCCAGCCCCCAGAGGACGTGAGGCAGGGCCCGGGCGCCGTTTCTGAACAGCGCAGATTTAAACACGGTTTCTAGGAGGGGGGGCACTGTCCTCATGAGGCCGACACACGGGACCGCCGCGTGAGAAGAGGCGCACAGTCACCTTGGGGGGACGCCTCCCTCCACGCTTCCAGGCTCAGGCCAGGGATGTTCTCGCAGGACTCAAAGTCCTCGGGGAATTTCCCGACTCGGAAGGCGTCGGCGGGCACCCTGGCGAGGCCCGTGTTGTCGCAGATGACCCGGGACAGAGAGTGCTTCCGCAGCTCGCGCCTCTGCGCGTCCGTGAAGACAGGGCCGTTCTCCCACCAGAACCTGCAGAGAGAGAGAGAGAGCAGCGTAGGAGCAGGACGCCCGGACCCTCCGGGGCCACTCTCTCTGGAGCACGCACCGAACACCCACCGCCCTGCTCTGTGCGGACTCGCCGCCCCTCGGGGGTCGGCCCAGCCGGGGGCCCCACTGAGTATGGGGTGGGGGGCGGTAGAAGGCGCCAGGGACACAGCAGGCATGAGGCAGGGCTCCCCAGCGACCGGGAACAGCGTGAACAGAAGGGTTCTCGGCCGTTGTCCTCACCGAGCACCTCACCAGGCTGCGTGCAGAGCGGTGTCGGAAACGGGGGTGACGGGACACCCGGCTGTGGCAGCAGGTGCTGCCCCGACTGGAGCCCCCGCCCTCCCCACCCGTGTCTCCTCCAGGCCGCGATTAATCGTGAACTGCGGCGTCGGCGAGTCCAGGCCCACTTTTCTCTCAAAACGCGAAGCTCCCTGGCAAGGCCGCTGACACGAGTGCCACCAGGCCACGTGTCCCCTTCGTCATGTGAGGCTCTTCTCCTGCTACACGGGAGGAATCCCTCTGAAAATGTGACGAAGAGGCCCCACTGTCTGTAAGTCAGTTCATCAGAGTTCTGTACCGGGGACATATTTGGGAACTAAATAAAACCCTAAGGCCCCCAACGACTGAACGGACCCCTCTCGGCCAAGGCGGCCCCAGAGGAACCTTAAAACGCAGCTTGTTCTCAGCAACCACCCGCTTCCTCGTGCGCTTGGCCGTGTGGGCCAGTCGGCAGTCGTCTCGCTCTAAGTGCTGCGGCTGTGCTCCGTGCTTTGTGCGCACCGACCTTGTGGCAGTGGCTTCAGGGCCGAGGAGACTGGCTGGCGGAGCCTCCTGCCCGGGTCGCCTGAACACCGAACCCGGCAGCCGGAATTCGAGCCCGGAGCTGGCCGCCCCGGCAAAACCCGAGTGGACGGCCACCCCCCGTGGGAAACGGCAGAGGCCCGTCCCAGGTACCCACCTGTCGCCGTCCCTCAGGGCCTTCATCTGCTTCCCGATGACGCAGGCGAACAGGGGGCCCGTGCGCGCCCCCGGGAGGAAGTTTTCCGCCAGGCCACCCAGCCAGACGTCGATGTTATCCGGGTGCCTGTACAGGGCCATTATCTTGTCGGCCACGCTCTGGTTGGCCACGGCCGCCTGCAGGTGGGCGGGGGTCTCCAGCCGAGGCAGCCCACAGAACCGCCGCCACGCGTTGTAACCTGCGGGGAAGAGGGGCAGGGGCCCGTCTTCCCCGAGATCCGGGGTCCAGGCGGCCCACCTCACTCCCCTGCCGTCCACCCAAAGCCGCGAGCGCAGAGCCAGGGTCCTGCGACTCCACAGCCGTGGAGAAGCCACTGCACTGCCCTACGCCCTGTGGCCTTCGCCAGGCTAGAACATTCCGGCAAGACCTCAGGGCTCTTGCTGAAGAGATTGTTCCTAAACGTGCGGGGAGAGAGGGCCAGACTGCCGCGTCCAGGACAGCTGCGTTACCACAGAGCCTGCGCTCAAGTCTCGTCTGCAGAGCCGCTGAGCCTGTCCTCACCCCTCGGAGCTTCCGCTCCACGAGGACAGCGGGATGCAGAGGCGGCCGGTGCAGCCAGCTCCCTCGCTCTCCTCACGCGGGGAGGGGCACACGCGAGCGCCTGTCTGAGCAAGCAGCTCTGCGCTGACGACCCTGCCATCTGCCACTGCCCGGGCGCTCTCCTCTCCTTGCAGGCCGGGCACAGCCCTGCTCGGTCCCCCAGGGCCCAGCCTCTCTCAGGGCCCAGCCGAGCCTCTGCACACCCAGGTCTCCCACCCCCGGCCTCTGCACACCCTCCTTCCGTCACCCCACCCCACTCTGCTGCGTTTAGCAGTGCCTCCTCCAGGCCGGTGACCTGGGCCTCTGACTCGCGCCCTCTGGCGTGGCTGCCCTGAGGCTGCTGAGAGCACTCGCTGGGTTCTTTATGGTTTCTCTTTGTTTCCGTCCCTGCCTGGTTCATTCCAGTGCACACGGCAGGCCCTGTCTAAATGCAGGTGCACACGGACACGCACACATGGACATGCACACACGGACACGCAAACATACACACACATGCACACACATGCACACACGTGCACAAACACATACACACACGGACATGCACACGTGCACACACGGACACGCACACGTGCACACGCACAGAAACACACACTCAGGACGGGGCCGGCTCCTGAGGGCTGCTGGGGCGTCCATGAGCCAGGACATCGGGGGCCTCGTGGGGCCTCCTGCTTGGACTAAGCGGAGCTGGGAGAGAGGGTGGCGCGTCTCCTTCCCGGGGCGGAGTGTTCACTCGCCCGCCACACACTCGGGAGCACTCGCTGGGGCCAGTCGCGGTTCTGGGGTGGGGTGAGCGGCAGCGGGACAGGCCCTTCCTCATGGAGCTGCCGCTCTGCTTGGGGGAGACAGGCCAGTGGGAACACGGATTCTCACGTTCCACCACGTCTCGCTTGGAGCGGGAGGCAGGGCATGTCCTGCTCCTGGCGCCGTTGGCTCCAATGGCTTCGCTAAGCGAGACTTGAGGACACGGAGGAGCCGGCCGGGCCGGCGTCAGCAGCGAGGGCATTCCGGCCAGGGCAGCGCGAGGGCGAGGGCCCGGGCGGGCAGGCCTGTGCCTCCCTCCTGCGCTCAGACGTGGGCGGGGCAGGGCAAGGGTCCCCAGACCTGGCAGGCCGTGGTCGCGGCCCCTCTGCAGGTTGATGGACGCCAGGTCCAGGGTGCTGGAGTTGGGCAGCACGAAGAGCCTTTCCGTGAGCTCCTGGTTCACCAGCTGGCCCTGCACCTGCAGCTTGGCCGGGCTCGCAAGGAGGCCTCTCAGCAGCGGGTCCAGGCCACCTGGAAGACGCCACCAGAGGCAAGGGGCTGCCACCGAGCTCCAGAGAGGCTGGGAAGCTCCTCAGGGACATTTATCCTCGCAAACATCTTTGTGTGCGTCTGTGAATTCGCCCCACGGGATTCCACTGAACATCCACTGAACATCCTCGCTGCCGGTGCTGGTGGGTCAACCACTGAGCTGGCACCGCCTGGTGGCTCGTGGAAAATGGATCTCGGAACCAAGGGGCCCGGGAGACACTCAAGGGGTTCGTTTTGCTTTTCAGCAGCAGAAACGCCATAGCCAGAGGAGGCCTTGGCTGAAGTCTGACGTCCAGAACAGTAAAAGGAGAGAATCAGCTAAGGGGGGTCAGGGCGCCTGGGGACCCCGCTCCACCACCTCCCAAACCCTCACGGGAGACGGATCAATCGCCCTCAGGGTCTGTCCCCCGATGGCGTGTGGGCCCTCGATTACGTGCAATGTGGGCTCAGCTTGGCCTCAGGGGGCCCCCACGGCACCACCTGGGCAGCACGGCGTGGGCGGGCTGAGCCCTGACCCCTCTGACAAGCTCTGCGTCAAAGCGTCCGTCTGGACGGGGTCACAGAGCGCCCTGCCAGCCACTGTCCCCCCCACTCGCCACTCTGCATGGAGTCAATCAGCTTTTGAGACGGGTTAGAAGCTTCCAGACAGACACAGGGAACCCGGGAAAGGGAACAGGAAGAAAGGACCAGGGAAGCATAAGAAAACCCTTCTGGAAAACGCACAGGGAATTGGAACGTTTTCTTCCCGATGACTCACTTAAGAAGATAACCCCACCGCTAAACCTCTAACGCTGATGGCGTGGACCGCGGCCACGGAACAAACACGATGCCTAACGACACAGCGGTCACAGCAGTGCTTGTCGCGCACAGTAACAAATGAGATTTCCACGTCAGTATTTTAGAAATAACCGTGAACAGTCACCTGCACCTGGAACAGTTTGTCCTGCGAATTCTGAAGACCTTCAGCGACGTGAGAGGAGGCATTTTTGAGGAATAGTTTGGCCTTTGAAAAAGCCCTTTTCCCCAAACACATTGACAACCTGGGCAGCGCCAGCCACATGCAGGTGCACAGAGGGCAAACGCACCCGGGCGGCTCCCAGGGCGGGACCAGTCGGAAGGAGGAAGCACCCGGGCAGGTCCCAGGGCGGGACCGGTCACGGGAAGGAGGAAGCACCCGGGCAGGTCCCAGGGTGGGACCAGTCACAGGAAGGAGGAAGCACCCGGGCAGGTCCCAGGGCGGGACC